CCCCTCTCGACATCAGTAAGGATGCGGTAGCCATCGATTTTTCGGCCATTGGCGTCCTTGTTAGCAGCTATAACCGATCCAGTGAAGAGGGGCCAGTAAGTTGAAGACAAAGGTATTTTAAATATATAGAACAAAAAGTTCAAGTTAATTTCCTACTTGAGCCGATTTACCGCTGAACTTTTACCTCATCCGCGTCGTGTATTATAACTTACTCAAGCCCGGGGTTGTCTGAGAAAAGGGTTCATCGACAGTCGCTTATATAAGATATCAAAATAAATTAACTTACACTCCAACCACACCCTTAAACTATGTAAGCTTACCACCGAGCTTACCCAGAGTAAACAAACCTATATCGCGTTTCATAACAAGGCATTTGTGATGGTGGTATTGGGGAGTATTCCACCAGTGACCGGCTAACAGTGGCGGTCTGAAGAAAAAGAGAATGAAAGGCGTTGATGAACATTTTAGAGTTAATAGGCCTAGCTTAATTCTATTTTAATATCTTGTTGGTGGGGTGGCTATATTTCGCTCTACATATAAACACTGCTCAATTGATCATATTCCGAGGCATTTGTTTATCTCACCCTGCATATCACGTTCATTTTCGAACTCGATGAAGCCATAACCACGAGGTTTTGCACAGAATTTGTCTTTGATCAGCACGATCTGAAATTTTGGTTCGCAAAAAAACTTACCCTTCTAATTGGTCCATAGACTTCGAACTCTCTTCTCAGCTTACTTTCACCGGAATCATAGTTCTGTGAAGGTAAAAGTAAACAAAAGCTACCAGTCTTGCCACGAAAAGTGTTGAATACGGATCACTAGTGGCGTCTGGATTTTTCTTTGGATTCCCTGATGGAATAAATAACGATAAAAACAAGACTCACATAATGCAAGATCCCTTTCAAGCTTGTAGTTGGCTTGCTCCTGTTTTTCTCGCCTCTGAAAATGAAATGAGATATCAAGTTTACTTTTCGCTCTTTTCGTTCTTCACGAGTTTCTATTTTAGTAGGAAGTGGAGTGTCAGCCGGATCCTGAAGTAAAAAAAGAGTAACCAAATAAGTGCATCAAGGGTATGAAATTTCTAAGACCCGAAGGGCAAGGCAAGTAGTTTAAGCTGACTCACTTCGAATTCATTTAAGAATTGTGCAACTCCAGTATATGGCAGCTTTCTGTGATATTTGTGTTTTTCAATTGGTGCAAGAAAGGGTATGGGGTCACGAGGAGCAAATAATGCGAGAAGGTTCGGGGGCAAATACTGCGTCATTTCGAGAGGAACGAAACCCCGCCGATGGAATTTAGCGCATTAAAAATAAAAATTGTTGTCTAATATCTTATATAAACTTTTTTATATTTATATTTTTTGTTTTAAGTTAATAATTAACTTATTAAGTATGCAAAAGTTATTAAATTAATGTAATTTAAAATCAACATATACACCTATCACTATTTTATTTTAATTTTTTGCATATTCAAAGTGGATGTACAGCGTTGTGCGGTCTCAGATTACGCGATTGGTAGAACTCTCACTCAAAGACTATTGGTCAGCTTACCACAATGCTCCGTTTTGAAATGGGCTATCCATCTCCGATGTGTGCAGGCAGTGAAATGCCAAGGTAGGTGCCTGATCCCTACTTGCGATGTGATCCTTACCGCATTGATCTC